AAATCATTTAACCCTGTTTGTCTCAGTTTTCTCATCTATAAAATAAGCTGGAGAAGGAAAACGGTAAACCATTCTAGTGTCTTTGCCTGGAAAACCCTAAATAGTGTTACGAAGAGTTGGATATGACTGAAAAAAGACTGAACAACAAGATAAACTCAACATGTCTAAACTTGAACTTATTCTCTTTCCCCAAAAATCCCTTCTGTGCTTTCCAAACATTTTCCAGACTTCCCTTTTACTGTAAAGGGCACCACCATCCTCCCAGTCACCCAGGTTCACAATCTTGAAAAGTCATCAGTCCATATCACTTCCAAAACCTACATATTCAAATGGCTGCCAAGTCCTATTGATTCTACCATTGCAATATCTCTTGTATATGCTGTCTTCTCTCTTCTGACACTCAACTACCTTGGAACAGGCCCTTATCACTTCACAGATGCATTACTGCAATAGCCTCCTGGTTGTCTCCCTGCTTCAAGCCTCCCACTCTAATCCATCGTCTACTTGGCTAACAGTGACCTTCCTTAAGTACACAGCTCCCCCAAACTCAGTAAAGTCCAGTGGCTCCCTATTACCTCCAAGGTCAAATATAAAATCCTCGGTTTGATTTTCAAACTCTTTATAACCTGGCTCCTTCTTAACTTTACCATCTTCCAATCCACTTTACTCTCTTCCATGTACTCTAATCCAGTGACCCTGGCTCTATCCACTGTGCCACCTAGATACCCCTGAGTTCATGACATGGATAACATATTTAACATAGACCAGACAACACTTCATTGGTATTTCACAGAAAGCTGCACAATTTCACCCATTAATGCTGGGAAGTTGCTGATCATGAGAAAAGATAAGAATCTAGCTGATCATCACTGAGCAAACAATAGTTTTAAGCTTTGCTAATGACTGTGATGCAATGTACAAACAAGATAAGATACTTCTCTGTGCCTCAATTTTCCTCTCTAAAAACAAGACAGTGACACTTTCTTCACAGAAAGATGTCAGTACTAAGGCAACATTATGTAAACTACTTTTGCTACCTAAAGAGACATGTCTTCAAGCCAGTACTAAGCTCCATTTTCCCAAATGGGGAGATGGAGAGTACAGGACAGAGGCTGGTGGAGAAATATGGGAGGTGGGGGAGTTTAATCCTAAATAGACAGTGCTTACCACCTAAAAAAAGGCAGAAAACAAAACAAAACAAAAAAAAAAAAGAATAGAGTACAAGAAGTGCTTGGATGATGTGCTGTGGTGACCACCAGTTCTATGATTCCCATTTTAAGAAACTGTTTAATAATTTAATGGCAGTGCTTTTCCTTTTTCTTCTTTCCAAATGTCTTAGCTCTCTTAAGTACTCAACAAAAGCAGCGGAGTTAACATTTATATAACATTTTAAGGCTTATTACTCACTTTTTTCTTACAATGTTCCTTTTAAATGTATAGGGAAAGCTTCATATCCCAATTCTACAGAGGAAGCACTGCTATTTTGAGGGGTTAAAGTGACCTGCCTGCCCAGGTATGGACAGCTTACCAGTGACAAGACTAGAATTGGAACCCAGGTCTCGTGACTTCACGGCCAGTGTTCTTTCTATGACACCATGCATCTCTTCAATTTACCTAATAAAAAAATGCATCATACATTTGAAACCACTATAATTAAGCTAAAAAATGAATGGTATACTTCCCAGTAGTAGCATCAGGTCTCTAGGTACCTCCTGGGAAAGATCAGTTATATTAAAAAAGGAGGCAACATGGTAGAGTAGATAGAGCACTAGCCTGAGAGGTAGGAACCTGGATTTAAATCCCATCTTTGACACTTACTCTGTGACCTCAGGAAACTCATTAACTTCTCTCAGTCTCCATTTTCTCATCTGAAAAGTGAGATGAAAATATGTATGCTTTCTATTTCCCAGGGTTATTGTGGTAAAAGCATTTTGTAAACCTTAAAGCACTCCACTAACAAGAGCTATTTAAAAAAAAAAAACCTGCATACACACATACACCACTGGTCAAAACTTATTTCTTCTCTTCCCTTTCTAAAAGGAAATTGTTCTCTTTTTTGCAGGAGTCCTTTATATATCAAAGGCAAAAGAATAATCATTTTTTGGTGGTGCTAAAATTATAGACAGTAGTCCTGAAGTTTGAATGCAATCACAGATTTCAGCAAACAATCTGAACCTAAGGAATCTTAAAGATAATATCTTCCCACTTTTGCAGATGAAGAAACTGAAAGCCTGAGAGGGGAAGAATTGGAATAGAAAAATCAGGAATCGAATCCAGTTCTTTTGATTCCAGACTCCTTCCAACCATACTACACTTCCTTCTGTCAACTTTCAAGTAATCAGTTTCAGTATCTGAGGATTTGATGAACAATTCCAAGCTCACTCTATTCCCACACTTCATAAATTTTTACACTTGGATAGTAACTCCTCTCTGCCTGGAATTTCAACTTTTTTCCTCCCAATCATTAGATGCTTCTGCCATGTCTCTTATCTTCTCAACAATCTTCAGTGTTTCTACTGCCTCTAGAATAAAATATAAGCTCTTTAGCTTGGGACCTAAAATCCTTTTCAATTTAGATACAGCCTTCTTTTCCAGGGACACTACTTATTCATTTTCTGTTACCCAAATTCAACAGTCCATTTCTTGCTGTGACCAAAATCTGGCACTCCCTCTCCTGCCTCCATGACTTTGCACTGTATCTATTCCCTGTGCCTGGGATACAGCCCCTCCTTACAATTTCTAGTTTCCTTCAAGGCTAATGTATCATTTCCCATGGGGCAGTTAGATAGTGCAGTGGCTAGAGCACTCCCCGGAGTCAGGGGGACCTGAATTCAAATCCAGCCTCAGACACTTACTAGCTCCATGTCCCTGGGCAAGTCACTTAACCCCATTTGTCTCAGTTCTCATCTGTAAAATGAGCTATAGAAGGAATGGCAAACCACTCTGGTATCTTTGCCAAGAAAACCCCAAGTGGGGTCACAGAGCGTTGGGCACCACTGATACTACTCACCAACAACAAATCATCTCCTATAGTAGTAGGTGGTTTTTTTTTTGACACCTTAATTGTTAGTGTTCCCTTACTCCTCTGGAACTATTGTCAAATACTCATCAGTTTAAATGCTGTATCCCCTCATTTTGCCTGTGTTTTTCTAGTATCTTGTACATAGTAGTTATTTGATAAATGTTGGTTGGATTGGATAACCCTGGAGATAAATAGCTTGAAAGCTGCACAAATCAATAACTAAAGAGGAAATTCACCCATTCTTTCAACAAATATTTATCAACTGCTATGTACTTATCATTATGCTAGAAACCATGGTAGATACATATAAGAAAGTAAAGGCATGGTACATGTCCTATGGGAACGAATGATCTGGAAGGTTTTATTTTGGTTTTTTTTTCTAATTCCTTAACAAAAAGTTAAAGAATAAAAAGGAGTATATGAATAAGTTTCAAGTAAATAATACAAACAGAAATTGCTACAGTTCAGAAGAGAAAGAGATTACGCTGGGCTAACGTGTTTGGAGAAGGTTGTATGTGAAATTAGGCCTTGAAGGACAAGCTTGATTTAGACAAGGAAGAAGGAGGAGGGTATTTCAGAAAAGGGCAAGTACAATCTGAGCAACCATAAAGACAGCAATGCGCAAGGGATATTCAAGGTCAATGGGGAGACCCACTTAGTTGAAGGACAGGGTTTTTGTTGAGGAGAGATAAAGCTAGAAAATTAGGTTGGATGTTGATCAAAGAGGTCCTTGAATGCCAAATTGAGAAGTATATTCAACAGGTAAACTCTTAAGGTTATGGTGATAAGGAATTTAAATCACTGACCCCACAGATGTGTTTTCTTACACATGTTTTCTTTGGACTAGAAACAAAAATAAAATATACTAGGATGGAACTTAAATTTTATTGGCATTCATCTAAGATAACCTTCATAAATCACCCCACTGCTTCTTCAATTGTGAGTGCTAGCTAGAATCATCTCAAACAAAAAACACTTTTAAAATCGCACCTTTTCACAAACTGTTTTTTTCCTCCTATATCCTTTTAATATAAATTTATAAAGCTAGATATTATAAAATCTAAGTATTATTCAGAAGTAAATCTTTGGTCAACACCCACAAGGCACAGTAGGTCAGATCCTCCTAAAGGTATGTAAACCAAGTACTTTTATAAAAGGTATATTAAATCCCTCAAACCACTGCAGTATCACTTCAAATTAGCATAATTAGAATACCATGAGTGTGATAGTTACAGTGCCTTCTTGGGTACCAATGAAAGCACTAACTCTACAGAAATCTACCAAAGAAATAAACACTGACAGTAGTTAAATGATTGTTTATGTCATGAAATGGCCAATACGTTGATCACTTTTTCTTCACTCTACTTATTTGTTAAGGGAGTCCAAGGAGGTCAGTGGGCAGTAATTGTGACAAATGAAAAGAAAGACTAAATAAAACTTATTTTTTAAAAATTATGACAGTCTATTAGTTCAGTGACTATAAAACTGATCAATCACACAGGAAGGATTTTAGTTAGATTCTCTGAATTAGAATTTTGTTAAAAGCTTAAAGATGTTTTCTTTCTCCACAATGAAGAGAAAAAAATAAATAAGATATCCAAAACTTGGAATATTTGTTCAAATAAAGACTTGAAACTTTCAATGGTCCTCCTCCTAGCCTCTTCTTTAAAAACACACATTCATATGCACGCACAGACGTGTACATACACATACATACACATCCAAGCATGGTCCTGGAAATAATGGTTTCAAATATAAAGTTATTAATCTTTCATTACTTTTATGATATAAGAAGCTGTGGATTTCATCCTCATACAATGCACTTCAGATATCACAGTGACTACTTTTGCTTAGTTACAGATAGAGAAGGCTGTATCTAATCTTTAGAAGCAACCTTCATTGGTTAGACAATAAACACCTGTGGGTAACTACGGAAGGAGCTGAAAAGTGTCCGCGATGTGAAAAAAAAAAAACTCACCATTCTAACTACTTCAGGGTAAGTCTGCTCTGTCAAACAGCCTCTGCTTATTGTAATGTAGTCCACCAGTTCATTAAGAGTGGAGCGCTTGTATTCTTTCATTTTAAGATCTGATAGCGTGTCCATGAAGTCAAAAATTACACAGCACTGCTGAAGTTTCTTTAGGAACAGTTCAGGCTGCTCTGAGGATGGAACGTCTAAGAAACAAAAAAGGAAATGTAAGTCTGTCATCAATTTCTAGGTAACAGGAATTCTCTGTTAAAGTCAGTTATTTCAAAAGAAAGCTCAAAATAGAGTTTACATGAAACAATGGTTCTGTAGTGTTAAAAAAAACAATTAGACATTTATGGGACATCTTATTTATTATGTGATTTATAATTTCGGCAACAATATTGTACCAAAAACAAATTTATATAATTTGCTATTGAAAAATAAAAGAGTTAACAAACTCCTTGGAGCAATTAGGAAGTTTTAATAAATTTCAACCAAATATTTATATCTTCATCCCCGATGCCCAAATTCTAACATGATTTATATAAATTGAACGACTCAAGCTTCCTAATATACAGTGGGGCAAGAAAGTTTCACTGTTGTTTTAAAATTAGTCTCACTAAAAAAAAAAAAATTAAAGCAAAAATGTTAGTCCACTCATGTTAATCCATGCTTACATCCTCGGTATTTAAATCAACTGTTTTTTGGCTTGTAGCCTACGAAAGTTAGATTTCAAAAAGCCAACAAGTTGAAACAATATCATAATCTAAAAGGAAAAAAGTCAGCCAGAGAAAGCTTGTATACTTGACAAAGATTCTAAATATTACACAAAAGTTTCAGGTTAATCAAATTCTACACGCAAAAAAGGAATCTGGTGTTCTATAAAACAAATCAGCTTCCCAAGAAAGGCTGACAAAATGGCTGCTGTCAAATTTATAAATTTAACTCATTAATCCTAAAATCATCTCTCAAAAATATGCAGATGGTATTATCATTATTATTATTCTCCCCTTTACAAGTGGAAAATTAAAGTGTCATTAAGATCACACAATGAACCAAATCTTTAACCACTTGACCATATTCCCTCTGCATTACACATGAAGGATTCTAATATTCTATTTTCAGCTACTTTTAACCATTCTCTCAGTCCTTGGTCATGCCCATTTTACAGTAATCACACAGAATGAGGCCATCTGTTTGTTCATCAATAGCAAGAAGAACATGTCAATGGACCACTTCTGTCTAGTTACCATCAACACAACTATATCAAAAAAAAAGCAAGAAAGAGCAAGAAAAAAATTTATAAAAAGAGAAATTTCATTTGTAAGAATAAATACCTTTAAAAAAAACATGAAGAATTAACCTACCTAGAAATACATATGACCAATACAACGCCAACTATAAAACTATCATGATTGAAATCAAGGAAGCCCTAAATAATACTGGAGGAGCATTCAGTGTTCATGGATGGTTTACATTAACAAAGTAAAAATGACCACTCCCTAAATAACCTAATATATTAATGCAATACCAATCAAAACACCAAGGGGTTTCATCACAGAACAGGATAAAATTATAATAAAATGCATATTTTAAAAAATCAAAGAGTAAGAACTAGAAAGAGAAATTAAATTCAAAATAACTAAAGAAAGTATAAAATATTTAGGAGTATATCTACCAAGACTCACCTAAGAAACATATGAATCCATTTATAAAACACTCTTTTCAGAAATAAAGACAGACCTAAATAATTAGAGAAATATTGATTGCTCATGGGTAGATGAAGCCAGTATAATAAAACAATGATACTCCCTAAATTAATTATTCACTGACATGTCAAACAACCAAAGGATTCTTTTATAGAGCTAAAAAAAAATTGTAACAAAATTAATATGGAGGAAAAAAGGTCATGAAGGGTAATAATAAAAAAATGGAAAGAAAGAGGGTCTAGCAGTAGCAGATCTCAAACTAAAGTATAAAACAGTAATCATTAAAACAATATGGTAGTGGTTAAAAAAAATAAAGAGGTTGATCAGTGAAATCAAAACTTAGGTTCAAAAAATATAGAAGCAAATCAACAAAATAGAATAATGTTTAATAAACCCAAAGACTCCTGATACTGGGGTAAGGACTCACTGTTTGACAAAAACTGCCAGGAAAACTAGAAAGCAGTTTGGCAGAAATTAGGTACAGATCAACATCTCATACCATATGCCAAGATTAATGATATGTACACACATGACTTAAATGAAAAAGAGAACATTGTAAGTAAATTATTGGAGCAAGGAAAGAAGTCATGATTGAACAAGTAATAAAGAGCATCATAGAAGGTAAATGGAAATACTGATTACATATAATTAAAAAGTTTTGCACCAAGTTTCTCTGATAAAGATCTCATATCCAAAACATATGAGGAATTGATTCAAGTTCCTTAGACTAAGAGCCATTCCCCATCAGACCAAATATTTTTCAAAGGAAGAAATCCAAGCTAACAACAACCTTATAAAAAAAAGTTCCAAATCACTAATAGAGAAGTACAAATTAAAACAACTATGAGGTTCCACCTCATACCCATCAGATTGGCAAAGATGACCAAACAGGAAAATGACAAATGTTGGAAGAACTGCTGGAAATAGGCACTAGCTCTTTTGGTAGAGCTGTGAAAATGATCCAGCTATCCTGAAAAGCAATTTGGAACTATGCACCATATGTTTTTAACCCAGAGATACAAAAATAATGATAGCCTCTCTTTTCATAATAATGCCAAACTGGAAAATGAGAAGAAATCCACCTATTGGGTATGGTTAAAAAAAAAAAAAACACTACATATGAGTATAATAGAATGTTATTGTGCCATGAGAAATGATGAAATGGACAGTTTCAGAGGAAAACTGGGAAGACCTGTGCAAATTAATGCTGAATGAGGGGAGCTGAACTATGAGAAAATTTATATAATAACAACATATAAAAGAAAACAACTTTGAAAGACTTTAGAATTATGATCAACACAATGATAAACCACGAGTTTATCCATGAGGACTGAAGATGAAACAGGCCACCTACTCCCAGTCAGATTAAAATGCAGAATAGGACAGACATTTTTGGACACAGGCCAGTGTCAGAATTTATCTTGTTTACCTATACACATTATTGAGTGTTTCTTTTCTTTTTACAGTTCAAGAGGGGGAGGGAGGAAAAGAGGTGTGGCAATAGGGGAAAGAGATAAGTAATCACAAAAGTAAATAAATTGGGGAGAGAAAGGCAGGCAGGCACAGCTAGGTGGATAGAGTGCTGGGCCTGGAGTCAGGAAGACCTCAGAAACTTACTAGCCCTGTGACCCTGGGCAAGTCACTTAACCCTGTTTGCCTCCATTCCTCACCTATAAAATGAGTTAGAGAAGAAACTGGCAAGCCACTGCAGTATCTTTGCCAAGAAAATCCCAAAAATGGTCACAAAGAGTCAACCATGACTGAAAACAACTAAACAAAAATAAATTTTTAAAAACAAAGAAGCAAGAACATAAAGCAGCACAATGAGGTGAGGATGGAGGGAAACTGATGAAGGTTGATTAGTACTTGCAAACTTTAAAATATATTATGACTAGTTATTCTCAAAACTAATGGATATGAGGGGGTTTTTTTCTTCAAGAAAAGCAAGAGAAAAAAACCCCAGAGAAATGAATTGACAGAAGAAAAGAGAAATACTAGAAATGCAATCAAATAACTACAAAAAGATTAATTAACTTAGAGAATATGAAAACTGGTGAAAAAAAATCATTATTTAACAAATGTAACTGGAGAAACTGGTTAGTACTGGGTGGGACATTAATTTTAGATCCATACCTCATACCATATATCTTAGTGGATTTTAGCTGCATAATGAACTTAAACCATACAAAGGAATTATATAATCAACATGAAAAAAATGAAATAAGATGTAATCTCAATTATGGAAAGATGACTTTTTCTATTAAACAAATGTAATTATTAGAGATGTGATAAATGTGCAAGACAACACTGTGACACTGATGAAAAACTCAGTCATAGTGGAACTGCTAGCCAGCAGGATCCTTTTAGAAAGCAATCAGAAAAAAAACAAAGTTCAAAATTAAATCATACTATTTAACATTATCATTTAATTGCTTATAGTACATCCTGAAAAGTCTTCATATTGAAAAGCTATCTGTTCAAAAGAATTTTATAGCAACTTCTGTAATTAAGAATAAATTATAAGCCACTTCAACATTAAACAATGGGGAAATGGTTAAATAAACTGTGGTATATTAATGTAATGGGATACATAATTATTTATATTAATTAATATATTAATATATAATAATATATAATTTGAATATATTATATAGTGTATCGTATATAATATAATTATAATATCTTGATTAATTAATAATTAATATTAATGAGGCAAATAAATTAGGAAAGAACTTCATGAAACAATACCCCCAAAAAAGCAGAACAGAAGGAACAAAATGTAACTAAATACAATTCCATAAAACAAAATTAACGAAGACAACTGATGGAGTTATGACATTTTATATGATGAAATTCACTTATTTAAAGGTAAATAATTAGAAAGCAAATTTAATTGATCTACAGATCATAGGATCATAGATGTAGAACTCAAAAGGCCCTCAGAAGCTGTACAGTCCAAGCCCCTCGTTTTACTTATGAGGACACTGAGGCCAAGAAAGGCTAAGTAACTTGCCCAAAATCATGATGACAGGAAGAGGCAAGACTTAAATCCATATCCTCTAACACCACAGCCAATACTCTCTCCATGAAGTCATACTAAATTAATATTAATATTAAGCTTATAATAATTTAAGTGAAGAGTTTTTAGCTCTTTATAACTCAACAGTTATATTATACCACTGTAGAGCCCCACCCCCACATGCACACCTCTACCCCATCATTCAATGCCAGTCAACATTATTTGGGCAAGGAAAGGAAAGGAAGGGGATAGGGGTGTCATACATATAGAGAACTCCCAGGTGAGAAAACTTCTTCTACCAATGTACAGTGTTGGACGGGAGTCAGGAAGAGCTGAGTTCAAATCCCTCCTCAAACACTTAATAGTTAAATGATCCTGGGTAAGGCACTTCTCTGAGTTTCTTTATCTGTAAAAGGGGTATTTATAGCACCTACCTCACATGGATATTGTCAGGGTCAAATGAGATTACACATGTAAA